GTTTTACCAAATTTTAAAATTCCGAAGGTAGAATTTCCCTATCCTACACCCTTTCCCCTAAGCTTTTTTGACAGAAATGAATCTGTCAGCGAAATCTAACACACCACATATTTGCAAACAGTGCAAAGAAAAATGAATCTCCTCTTTCTTACTTGAGCGGTCAGTATATTGTAAAAGGTTTTATTTTCATCGCGTCGCCTTTTCCGCACTGCGGCATCGAACTTTTGCAAATTCGTAACGTCACGTCACGTGACGTCACACGTAACGTCACGTCACGTGAAACGGGGTGAAAGATATAGATGATCTTACATGAGTGTCCAGGTAATATTGAATTTCTTATACCCTCTTACCCTGGACAGCCCTATATTAAATACAAGGAAATGAGAGAAATCTCGCCTTCAAATGAACATGAAGAGGGAGAAGTGAAAACCACTATATATCCGGAAGTCCCCTGGTTTCGACAATATTCCTTCAGATGTACTTCTTTAAGGATTGACATCCTTCTTAAATCTTTTACGCACTGGTTTGTTAATGGAAAAGATACCACGTGACTGGTCAAAGGGTAACATCCAGCCAATCTCTAAGTCGGACACCAAAGACCCAACTGACCCTTTCAGTTATCGTAAAATTTCATTATTGTCGATCCCTTGCAAAAATTATACAGATATACTAGGTCAGAGACTTACAAATGGCAGGAAATGCATGACGTACTAGCAGATGAACAAAACGGTTTTCGCCGAAAGAGAAACTGTTTGAATGACATACATGTAACATCACCAACAACAGAAAACTGAAAAAAAATGCTACTTTCGTTTGCGTTGTGTATGTACGTAAAGTGTTTGATACAATTAATAAGAACTGTTTATGGTACAAACTTTATGCAACTGGCATTGAAGGAGTTTTCATGGATGTCGTCAAATCATTATAGAGTGACGTTATGCGCGTCAGATGCGCGTTACATACAGATCAGTACACTCTATCAACTGGGCTATATAGCTGTACAGATGGACCCATAATACATAATAATAGCCGTATATCGACCGACCGGATTAGGTCTTTTGAGGTATTTTCATGTATTTTTTTTTTTAAAAAGAAAACGACTCAAAATTAAAGGAAGATTTTCTCATTATCTTTTTTTTTTTACAAAAACACCAAATAAAAGTATTCTTTTGAAATGATGCAAAAATAATCAGAAAATTTAAAGGGATTGAACGGCGGGGTTTTTTCATGTCGGTATGCACGCATGTTTAATATGGATGTAACCGATTTGCGTTCATACCGGCATGAACATTATAAAACCGCCGTTCAATCCATATATTTACATTTCAACTATAGAACAATTGTTTAGTTTTAGTTATTTGTTCTTGAATAATTTATCTATATACTGCGTTTTGTATATGCGTCGTCCTTTAAACGACATTGACGGAACAGCCCTGTTTAAATAAAACTCTCATCCACAGGGACCTGAGAATTTGTTACAGCTATATTTGGACCTAAACTGAGGTGTTCAGAGTAATTTTACATGTTTTAGGGCTTTAGATCGACTTTCGGTAAAGATGTCGAAATGTCGACCCCTCCTAATTATAACTTTCTTGCACCGAAAACAACATTTTTAGTTGATCTACGGGAAAATGCTTAGTACCGTTGGAAAGATGGATAGTGCACGTAAAATGTATTCTCCTTCCGCGGACATGTTCTCCGTTTCCTCCAAAAACACACGTAATTACAAGGTTTCAAAGTTTTTTGCAGTCATCCAGCCACTTTTTTTTAATATTAATGAGGTTATAGAATTTACAATTATGAGGATCATGGCAGTTCAGTTGACTGGGCGGAATCTTCACACGACTAAATGGCGAGGAAAATTCGATTATTAAGTTTCTGATAGGGAAATAGTTACATTTGAGATGATAGAAAAAAAAAAACATGACCTCTTTCTAGTTTTGCGAATTTCTGTGAATCGAATTTCTACTTATATAGTAGAGTAACATTTGTATGTATATATATGTAAGTATAGAAGACCTACAGTATACCATACCTGTAACATGCCCTGAGGCAGGACCCAGATCAGGTGAGTAAAAGCTCTTGTAAATGTGAATGTATTGTGCTGTGCCGGTTCATCCAGTTTTTGGTCATGTGCACGTGTTTAAATCTGTTTGTATATTTATATAGATACTTCTGTTTGTAGGTGTGTCTATATTCTGTAATTTTATTGGTCATGAGGCCTGATTTATGTATTATAGAAGTCAAAATACAGAACAAAGGTATGTGCAGATTTTAAGATTTTTAATTGTGTATAACTAATCAAATGAATGCTATTTGATAAAAGTAAAGTATAATTGTGTATTTTATTAAATTGAAAGAATTTGATTGTAATTCGTTTATATTTTGTCTTTAGAATATTTATCTATATCTATATTTATCAGATAATTGTCCACCTATTGAAATACAGGATATCAATATGTTTTTACTTATGTATGCAGATGATATGGTGGTTATATCTGAAACACCAGAGGGTTTGCAAACAATGTTAAACTCTCTTGCAAATTATACAAAATAATGGGATTTGACCGTAAATACTGGGAAAACAAAAATTGTCGTGTTTAGAAATGGAGGGATATTAAGGGGAAATGAAATATGGTTTTACGAAGGAAATACATTGGATGTTGTCGATCAATTCAATTACCTTGGTGTACTATTGAATTTTAACGGAAAATTTAGACATACTCAAAAGCAAGTTGCTTACCAGGGGAGAAAAGTTTTGTTTGCATTAAGAAAAAATATTTCAATATAGAAACTCAATTTCCTGTGTTTGATACATGTACTTATGTAAATAGTGTTTTAAGTTATGGAGCAGAAGTATGGGGCTTCCATGCCGCACCAGACATAAAAAAAAAATGCATGTGAGATTCTGCAAACAAATATTAGAATTGCATAAAAAAAAACTAGTATTGTTATGGTGTATTATGAACTTGGAAGATATTCCATGAAAATAGTTAAAATGTCCTTGCTATATTGATATAAGGTTGAAACTAATTAAGAAATATTATGTAAGACATACAAGCATGTATCAATTAATTCAACTACTTACTTGTGAGAATGTNGGGGGGGGAGTGCGTGTATATGTGGGTATCATATTGTATGTTGTCTCTGTATTGTTTTGTATATATGTTATAACTGATAAATATAAGTCAACCGACTTAAAGTAATAAAGAACTTGAACTTGACATTACTCTGAGCACGGACTTAGATAGCAGTGTTAGGTTTTGAAATAAGTCCCAGTTGAAAATGCATCCATTCCGCAAATGGGGTGGTGTATGTGCATTTGTAAAATGTGTGTTTTCTAATAATGTATATTTTATTTGTGTGTTAAAAGTGTGTCTACTGTTCGCAAAAGTAATTGTGAAAGTATATCATCATTTATAGCTCTTTTAGTATGAAATGTAATTGCTAGACAAGTATTCATTAAATGTAATACGTAAAGTTAAATTATAATGAATTATGATACATGTAGAGTTAAGCTATTTGATAAATTATGTAAAGATGAAATTTATTATAAAAGTAATTCTTTCAACATCAAAGTAAAGATGAGTCTTTGTAGATTTGACAAGGATAATGAAATGTATACCTCTGTACATGTATATCTGTAATGTTTTTATGTATTATGTTTGTAAGTGTTATTTGTGTATATTTGTAGGGTGTCAATGTCAGCCTGAATATTCATGTTTGGTCAGTCTTTGTAATGATGGATCGGAATAAAAAGGAAAGAACCCTAAGACACGTTTTTGTCCTATATGAAAATGAGTCTGCTACACTTATTTATATATTCTTTCATACGAGTAACACAATGACAGCTGAACATAAAAGTAACATCCGAGTTTATTGTAATATCAATTGGGGGCAGGTTCGGCCCGTGATACCGGGACAACTTCTGCCCATGAGTATAGTGAAGTTGGCGGGAAAATCTGATGGTGCATGCTTTATGACGTCATCATTTTTGTCCCAATGTGGGGCACGTTCGGCAATACAATCTGTCGACAAAAAAGGTTAAATAATTCTTCAAATACGGACGTGTTTTCCATTTATTTATTTTTTTGTATTTTATTAAAGACAAGAAATGTCTCTTCCAAATGGTATACATGTTTACACATACAAATGTAACAGTTAAATTTCAACAGATGCCATTCTGTCCAGAACGACTTAATAAAGATAGGCCGAACTTGCCCCAGTCTCCCCTATAGTTAAAACTTCAATCAGTGAAACACAATACCGGTAGGAAATGTTCATGTAATATATATATAACTATCCAGATGGTGGTTTTTTTCAAATTTATACATTACATATTGTACCCCACAGATTACATATCTTACGCTCACTCATTTTCACCGAGTATACAGTGTAACTTATATTTAACACTATATAACTTATAGTATATATACATTACAAACATGAAAGTAAGAGGAAAGGCGAAGAAACAGATAATTTCCTTTTTTTCTTTTCGTTATCATCGTTATTCAGTAATAACTCGTTGTTTATCTTATGATATTACTTATTTTTGTCACCTTTCCCACGCTCAGCACCACTCCAGCTCTTTTCTATCAAAAGTTCAATATAGCACTAGATGGCTTTAATTGAGTGAAAAACATAAGTATCCTAATATAAAACAATATCAAATATAATTCACAACATCATTATTTCTTAAGAAAGGTATAGTTGATGTAATTTAAGTATCATTTATTTACATGTACTGAATACATTTTTAACCCTATTCAATAGTTATAAACATATCTTGTCATTTTAATACTTAGTATTCATTCATTCATTCATTCCATCATTTATTCATTCGTTCATTTGTTAACTCTTTTCCACTCCTTCCAAAGCATTCTTCTAACAGATATATTTCTTTTTTTTCTTTCTTCTTTCTCAATCAACCATACTTATTCAGATCACTTGTTAATCCAACCGAGCGGTGTGGAGCTCTCCTATAGTGAGGTAGAAAAGTGTGCCTGTCAACAGACCATGGCGGACGACGCTACTGTGCCGGTGATGAAGTGTGTTGTTTGTGGGTCGTTTTCCTCCCTTAAACGGTGTTCGAGATGTAAGCATGTCGTCTACTGCAGTAGAGAGCACCAACTCCAGGACTGGCCAAAGCACAAAATATCGTGTCACGTAACGAAGTCACAGACAGGCGGGAGCCGAGACGAAGCAAGCAGTCACACGAACTCGGTTTGTCAACAACCGCAGGGAGGCGGCGGTGGGGTATCTGCAGCCACGAAGACGGTACATGACGGTCGAGTTGAAATAAAAGAAAATGAAACCACAGGTGGAGCCGTTAAGGACGAGACTGACAGTTTTGATCAACCTAAAGCCCACATAAACTTTAAAAACGGCACGGAAACAAATATAGAGTTGAAAACAAATGACTGTAAGCAACCTATGAACAGCGCTGATGAGAACGAAAATTCATCGGAGTATACACCATTCGACAAACGTCCATTTATTGAACGACACTTTGACAAACCAAAGTCAAAGAAGAAAAAAGATATTGCCAAGTTTGTGGTAGACAAACTAGACAAGAACAACTTCTGTGTTATCGATTACCTGTTTGAAGACGATCACGTTGATCGAATGTTAGCGGAAATAAAAAGTTTGGATGCCAGGTCACAGTTAAAGACAGGTAAATTAGCCGGGGGTAGAACTAGTGATGATAATAACCAAAAAGTATTAAAGTCAGAAATTCGGAGTGACCGGATGGCATGGGTTGACCGGAACCAGGAAGATATCCCCAACATTGGCAGGGCGGTAGAGCGCCTCGACTCTATTCTGACTGACCTCAACCCCCTCCTCGAGGGGAAAGACTGCTTCATCAATAGTCGCACCAAGGTCTGTAAGCCTTATCAGTAACTGGGTATGATTTATAGGGGCCAGTAACCCTACAGTTTTCAGTATTTTCTTTCTCTGTAGCCACGTAGCCCCTTCAAAAACATCTGATATGCCGCTGGTGACTATATGTAACCATAATTCGACGTACAGTTTATAAACTGACCAACTTCATAATGAATTAAACTACCGCTTTTTTTTATATTAAAGTGAGTAATTGAGTCAGAATTTTTTTCCAATTTCTTGTCATTTGATTTTCTTCGTGTCTTTCATTGATGTTAACTAGATCTTATAACTGTTGTTTTTCACCGTCACATTGTGATATTGCAACTAAATTAGAGTCGTACACAAACAGGTTATGGTGACGTGCTACCCGGGGGAGGGGACATGTTACAGACGGCACGTGGACAACCCCTCGAGGGACGGACGACGAATTACATGCATCCTGTACCTTAACCGCGACTGGGATGTCCAGGTAGGTTTCAATGATTTTTCTCGAGTTATCTCCCCTACACCTACAACACCGTGAATATACTAATTTTTGATAAATGAGGAGACCGCAGGCAGGTACCAGGTATGTGATCTTCCTAAACCAGAAGTAGGTATGGGGGCTATATTCATTAACAGTTTATGCTATATGATTTAACAGCACGGGGTGTGATGCTACAATACGTTCACACTGTATTGTAACGTAACTTCTCATGTCCGACTTCCAATTCAATGCTCATTTTTTCTTCAATACATAGGCAATGTGATAACACAGATATTCAGGTTATTTCAAAAAAATAATAACTGAATATATTGGAAATAAACCCAAAGATTTATTGCTGTTAATTATAAGCAGATGTATCATTTTCCAAATCTGTTGACAGCATTTTCGGCGGTGCTACCACTTGCTGTAGTGACATAATGTATTTTCATTATTGGATTCGCGGCTCACAATCTGATTAAAATCATCTGTTACATGGCTCCGTCTGAACTGTTTAGGCGTAGTACCAAGTTAACGAAGCCATGTAACATGATTTTAATCAGAATGCGCGGCTCAAAGTGTTTATTTTTTTAATAGACGGTCTGATACCAGATTGAACTTTACCCAATCTGAGGAAACAGACGCAATGTAACTAATATTGGGCATAACCTATTTGTAATGTATGTATAGATTCATTGAGACTAGCGCTATGGTCCTTTTAAAAAAAATGTATCAAATTGTAATGGTCAGATCTACATACACTGTATGTAAGATGGCTGTCTGTTGGTCACCCCACTTTTTCACGACCAAGCTGAAAAAGAAACATGCACAACTAAGAATAAAAAAAAATCCAGATAGGAAATTCTAGAAAGATCGAAGGAAATTCTAGAAAGATCGAATTCTAAAATGACCTAGTAACTGTCTTGTTCGGTCATTTACATTTGTAGTTCTAAAATTGAACTGGACCAAAGGAAACCTATTCGTGGAAAGTTCAACTAACTTGTCAAGTACTTTTTTGAAAAATAAATTGCATCAGTAACAAACTTCAGGTGTCAATCTCCGAAGTAGTCATTAAATACCCATTTTAGGATGTAAAGTTGCTGAACTGCTGTACTTTATTATTGTTATGTTTTTGTTATCTTCAATCATCACTGTAGATTATCCTTGATCTGCACAAGTAGAGAAACGGAAGCTACATATGTACCTGTATAAGAACGAGGACCCGGATTATACATGTAGTTCAGGCGTATGTCAATAGTTCATGGAGTTCGATCGTTGTAGTACTTCAGTGTACCATACTACATTTGAGATAAGAAAACGAGCTGCATTCTGTTTTGATTGACTTTAAATTTCAGACCGATGGAGGACTGTTGAGGATATTTCCCACCGGAAGTGAAGATCACGTGGACGTTCCGCCATTGTTTAATCGTCTGTTGTTTTTCTGGTCTGATGGCCGTAATCCACACGAGGTGCAGCCTGCCTACAGGACAAGGTATGCATAGGTTGATCTCACCAGCATTTAATTATCACTTCTGTAATTATCTTCTATACTTGGCATTTCATCTGAAATATTCAACTTTTAAATCTTTGGTTGAAGTGTATATATTGTGCATGCTGTTTCCTCACTACATGACGGCAACTAATGTTGACTCCATGCAAAGTCGGGTCTTAAAAAAACACCATAAATAAACTAAAGTCGGAGTGTTGTGTTAACAAAACTTACACATCGCAAAGAAATTTCAGTGAAATAATGGACTTAGCTATTAATCACAAGTCATACTGTGTGAGTAAAATACTGGATTTACCTATTAATCACAAGTCATATTGTGTGAGTGAAATACTGGATTTACCTATTAATCACAAGTCATACTGTGTGAGTGAAATAATGGATTTACCTATTAATCACAAGTCCTACTGTGCCCAATGCATACTGTTGTTCTTGTTGCGAGTCCCCTTGAGATCATTAAGGGTTTTGTTTTAAGATTTTCCTAACAAAACCGTCCATAATTGTACTTTGCACACAGGGCGCCATTTTGTTACTTTATAGATAAGTGTGACATCGCGGTCAGCCCGTGAGCCATTTTCATTGGTATGAATGGAGAGCAGAGAAAGGAATCTTGAGGGAGATTGAGTTTATATCATGATTTTCTGATACCATCCCCACTTCCAACCCAAATGGTTTTCACATGAAGTGAAATAAGGTCCACCTTGTGTTACTTTGTTGGTAGGTATGCCATGACTGTGTGGTACTTTGACGAGATGGAGCGCAACAAAGCTAAGGAAGAAAACCGACATTTAGGTAAGCTTATGATTAAGTTTATTACAATGTACATTGTATATCTCAATGTTAAGATAAGTTTACAATAAAACATGTTAGGTAAGATTACACTGATGATGTAGAAGAACACCGCCATTTAGACAAGCTCATAAGTATACCCCCGCAACGAAGTTAGTGGGGGGGGGGTATACTGGAATCACCCTGTCTGGATGTCTGTCTGTCGTCCGCAGTAACTTGTCCGGAAAACTCCTCCTTAATTAACCGGTGGATTTCATTGAAACTTTGCATGAATGATCAGTATCTTATGTAGTTGTCCACCGGCATTTTAATTTGGGATTTCGACACTTTTTGATGGAGTAATGCCCCTTTGTGCGAAGTACTTGTACGCGCAACTCCTCCTTAACGAACAGGTGGATTTCATTGAAACTTTGCATGAATGATCCGTATCTTATGTAGTTGTGCATCAGCATTTTAATTTGGGATTTCGACCCTTTTTGATGGAGTTATGCCCCTTTAACACAAATATTATTTATCCTGCCAATTGCGTGTATAACTTCAAATCCGTTAATCCTGGGAAAGAGAATTGCAACGTCCAGATCGAGGTTCGAGTCGGGACCCTCCGAACTCTAGATGGACGTTCTACCAATTAAGCTACCTGGTTGCCGCCAATCGTCCCAGCCCAATCCCTCTACACATGAATGGATGTCCTTTTAAATCGGACGTGTATATGGCGCCACTCTAATCAGGATCTCAAGATGTTAACAGAGGCTCTCGGCAATCCTAAGACCATGCGAAGAGGAAGTCCATGACAATTACGAAAGAAGTGGGGTTTGTACGTACAATGGAGGATTCGGACAAGAACAATCTGGGTCAGTGTTATGTTTGGTATCGCTACAATGTGTAGTTACATATACGTATAATGGAGGATTCGAAACGACAAGTCTGGGTCAGTGTTATGTTTGGTATCATTACAATGTGTAGTTACATAAACGTACAATGGAGGATTCGGACAAGACAAGTCTGAGTCAGTGTTATGTTTGATATCACTACAATGCATAGTTACATAAACGTACAATGGAGGATTGGCACAAGACAAGTCTGGGTCAGTGTTATGTTTGATATCACTACAATGCATAGTTACATAAACGTACAATGGAGGATTGGGACAAGACAAGTCTGGGTCAGTGTTATGTTCGATATCACTACAATGCATAGTTACATAAACGTACAATGGAGGATTCGGACAAGACAAGACTGAGTCAGTGTTATGTTTGGTATCACTACAATGTGTAGTTACATATACGCACAATGGAGGATTCGGACAAGACAAGTCTGGGTCAGTGTTATGTTTGGTATCATTACAATGCATAGTTACATATACGTACAATGGAGGATTCTGACAAGACAAGTCTGAGTCAGTGTTATGTTTGGTATCACTACAATGCATAGTTACATATACGTACAATGGAGGATTCGGACAAGACAAGTCTGAGTCAGTGTTATGTTTGGTATCGCTACAATGCGTTGTTACATAAACGTACAATGGAGGATTCGGATATGACAAGTCTGGGTCAGTGTCATGTTTGGTATCATTACAAGGCATAGTTACATATACGTACAATGGAGGATTCAGACAAGACAAGTCTGAGTCAGTGTTATGTTTGGTATCATTACAATGCATAGTTACATATACGTACAATGGAGGATTTGGACAAGACAAGTCTGGGTCAGTGTTATGTGTGATATCACTACAATGCGTAGTTACATATACGTACAATGGAGGATTCGGACAAGACAAGTCTGGGTCAGTGTTATGTTTGGTATCATTACAATGCATAGTTACATATACGTACAATGGAGGATTCGGATATGACAAGTCTGGGGCAGTGTTATGTTTGGTATCGCTACAATGCGTAGTTACATAAACGTACAATGGAGGATTCGGACAAGAAAAGTCTGGGTCAGTGTAATGTTTGGTACCATTACAATGTGTAGTTACATTAACGTACAATGGAGGATTCAGATAATTCAAGTCTGGGTCAGTGTTATGTTTGGTATCGCTACAATGCGTTGTTACATAAACGTACAATGGAGGATTCGGACAAGACAAGTCTGGGTCAGTGTAATGTTTGGTACCATTGCAATGTGTAGTTACATATACGTACAATGGAGGATTCGGATATGACAAGTCTGCGTCCGTGTTATGTTTGGTATCATTACAATGTGTAGTTACATATACGTACAATGGAGGATTTGGACAAGACAAGTCTGGGTCAGTGTTATGTTTGATATCACTACAATACGTAGTTACATATACGTACACTGGAGGATTTGGACAAGACAAGTCTGGGTCAGTGTTATGTTTGATATCACTACAATACGTAGTTACATATACGTACAATGGAGGATTTGGACAAGACAAGTCTGGGTCAGTGTTATGTTTGATATCATTACAATGGAGGATTCGACATTTTGATTCTCATACTTTCTTTGAACTGTGACCGGAAAAAGAATAACTAAATCACATTTAGTCTTCTTGTTTCTTTTTTGCTTGAATACTCGAAAGGACCAGTCGTCTACGGACGTCAGTAGTAATTAAAGATTGACTTTCCGGTAATTATTATATTAAGGTCACTTATGCTATGTTTAGTAAAGAGCGGTGTAAAGAAGTACCCCGCATTAACAGAACAATAGCATGTATTGTTGTATAAATCCAACAAGAAAAAGAAGAGAAATCGCTTAGTTGACCGAGTTGTTTGATAATGATTTAATACCTAAAACCTAATGACCCATTGACCCAGATCTAAGTTGTTATAAGTCTGCTAGTCTATTTGGATGACGCGACTACATAGGTAGACGCTACTTGATCTGTTACCTGAGCAATCTGCTCAAATTGCCCTCCTGTATTGAAATCATTACTCGTGTCAAACAATGAGGGATTCGATCGTTATCCTCACGTGACGTCGATTAATGAATATTTGATAATTAATCGGACATTGGATACCTGCCACTCGCCTGTAAATGTTTGACCGTGAATGTCAGTAATACTGCTACAACTCCTACACACACTTTCGTTACTGCGTTTCTGTTATATGGACACCTAGAGTTTGTGTAACCAGACCTTATATGGCCAATGTTAGAGATTGGTGTTTTCTATATTTTCATAAAAAATAAAAACAAATGTTTGACAGATTTATTTGACCGAAAATATATTTTGTATGACACTTAGTTATGTTAACTGTCAACTGTAAATTATGTTTAACTGTCGATATATTTGGTTTGACGGTAACTTATGTTTAACTGTCGATATGTTTGGTTTGACGGTTTATTATGTTTAACTGTCGATATCTTTGGTTGGACAGTAAATTATGTTTAACTGTCGATATCTTTGGTTTGACGGTTTATTATGTTTAACTGTCGATATCTTTGGTTTGACAGTAAATTATGTTTAACTGTCGATATCTTTGGTTTGACGGTTTATTATGTTTAACTGTCGATATCTTTGGTTTGACGGTTTATTATGTTTAACTGTCGATATCTTTGGTTTGACAGTAAATTATGTTTAACTGTCGATATCTTTGGTTTGACGGTTTATTATGTTTAACTGTCGATATCTTTGGTTTGACGGTTTATTATGTTTAACTGTCGATATCTTTGGTTTGACAGTAAATTATGTTTAACTGTCGATATCTTTGGTTTGACGGTTTATTATGTTTAACTGTCGATATCTTTGGTTTGACGGTTTATTATGTTTAACTGTCGATATCTTTGGTTTGACAGTAAATTATGTTTAACTGTCGATATCTTTGGTTTGACGGTTTATTATGTTTAACTGTCGATATCTTTGGTTTGACGGTTTATTATGTTTAACTGTCGATATCTTTGGTTTGACAGTAAATTATGTTTAACTGTCGATATCTTTGGTTTGACGGTTTATTATGTTTAACTGTCGATATCTTTGGTTTGACGGTTTATTATGTTTAACTGTCGATATCTTTGGTTTGACAGTAAATTATGTTTAACTGTCGATATCTTTGGTTTGACGGTTTATTATGTTTAACTGTCGATATCTTTGGTTTGACGGTTTATTATGTTTAACTGTCGATATCTTTGGTTTGACAGTAAATTATGTTCAACTGTCGATATCTTTGGTTTGACAGTAAATTATGTTCAACTGTCGATATCTTTGGTTTGACAGTAAATTATGTTTAACTGTCGATATCTTTGGTTTGACCGTAAATTATGTTGAACTGTCGATATCTTTGGTTTGACGGTTTATTATGTTTAACTGTCGATATCTTTGGTTGGACAGTAAATTATGTTGAACTGTCGATATCTTTGGTTTGACAGTAAATTATGTTGAACTGTCGATATCTTTGGTTTGACGGTTTATAATGTTGAACTGTCGATATCTTTGGTTTGTTTAACTGCCGATATCTTTGGTTGGACAGTAAATTATGTTTAACTCTCGATATCTTTGGTGAGACAGTATGTTATTGATTACTTTCTTTAGGTATAAATACTTGATTGTCAATTTACATTGTATTTCGTTTGACAGTAAATAAGCCGTGTTTGATTTGGCAGTACACTGACTATCTTCTGCATTACAGACGCAATTAATTCCTTTGGTTTGACAATAAGTTAATGCTTACTGTCTTCTGTGTGACAGACACTATCAATTCCATTGGTTTGACAATAAGTTAATGCTGACTATCTTCTGTGTGACAGACACCATCAATTCCTTAGGTTTGACAAAAAGTTAATGCTGACTATATTCTGTGTGACAGACGCTATTAATTCCTTTGGTTTGACAATAAGTTAATGCTGACTATTTTCTGTGTGACAGACATTATCAATTCCTTATGTTTGACAATAAGTTAATGCTGACTATATTCTGTGTGACAGACACTATCAATTCCTTTGGTTTGACAATAAGTTAATGCTGACTTTATTCTGTGTAACAGACACTATCAATTCCTTAGGTTTGACAATAAGTTAATGCTGACTATCTTCTGTGTGACAGACACTATCAATTCCTTAGGTTCGACAATAAACTATCAATTCCTTTGGTTTGACAATAAGTTAATGCTGACTATTTTCTGTGTGACAGACACTATCAATTTCATTGGTTTGACAATAAGTTAATGCTTTCTATCCTTGTGTGACAGACACTATCAATTCCTTTAGTTTGACAATAAGTTAATGCTGACTATATTCTGTGTGACAGACACTATCAATTCCTTGGGTTTGACAATAAGGTAATGCTGACTATATTCTGTATGACAGACACTATCAATTTCATTAGTTTGACAATAAGTTAATGCTGACTTTATTCTGTGTAACAGACACTATCAATTCCATTGGTTTGACAATAAGTGAATGCTGACTATTTTCTTTGTGACAGACACTATCAATTTCATTGGTTTGACAATAAATTAATGCTGACTATATTCTGTATGACAGACACTATCAATTTCGTTGGTTTGACAATAAGTGAATGCTGACTATTTTCTGTGTGACAGACACTATCAATTCCTTTGGGTTCACAACGAATGTATTAGTATACTTACATTAAAGACATGAAACTGCACACAGTATTAGAACGGGTCACTTGTCATTTTCATTTTGAAGAGGATCCAAAGTCATGCATACAGGAAATTAATAGTCATAAACTGCTTTACAAAACAAACCATACATGTATTTTGAAAGTATTTCATTTCAGAAACAAAATTGGAAAAATATCACGTGTGCACCGATAGATTTAGGGGGTATTTTCTTCGTGATATTATTTCCTAACCCAGCTTACTTACTGGCGCGATGTAATATATATGTTTTCTATTTCAGAATCAATGAAAACACGAGGAAGTATCGCATTGATGGAAAAAGAGAGCTGTAACGAAGAAATGGAAAAATATAGCAAAGAAAAGGTGAAGCCACTCTGTCATTCAATAGAAAAACGCCCATCTCTATTAGACGTGTAAAAACGCCCATCTCTATTAGACGTGAAAAAACACCCATCTCTATTAGACGTGTAAAAACATCCATCTCTATTAGACGTGCAAAAAACGCACATCTCTATTAGACGTGTAAAAACGCCCATCTCTATTAGACGTGTACCTATATATTTAGAAAACGGTGTGATTTTCACAATGTAAGACGGCAGACACGTGAGGTTTCGGATAATAGGAATAATGTCGCTCCATTACATATGTGAGCAATACCGATTCATTTCAGTCTCGTGATTGATATTGTAACAGCCTCCCAATCAAGGAACAAACTGAGATTTGCTTATTGTTTTAAAAGGGAAATAGCCGTCTTAAAGTTCATTCAAGATGTTTTAAATATTCACACACATTCATAAGAATTCGTGTTTTTGGATAAACGGCTATCGAATATGAAAATAAGATAAAATTAACGAGTTAACCTTGACTAAAGAGTTCCGATGTCTACGGTCATGGAACTAACCTGTCATTTGCAGACACAAACGGCGTATGTGTAGACTTACATTCAAAGTCACAGTGGTCAAATGTGTTAAAAATTGGAACATGTATTCTTCGATAAGTGATACATGTAACAGGCGATCGAAGCAGGACCCTAGTTGTAAACCGAGTCAGGATTACATGTATGGAATGTCAAATGACAACCGATAATAAACGAGAGAAGTTTTTCCACTACCAGAGTAACGCAAGTTGCATATATTCTTCCATAGCGAGAGTAAACGAGAGTAAACGAGATGTGTTCTATGTTCTTCAGGAACGTATCCAGCAACAAATAGATAGTCGGGCTTCAGAGGCAGTGGGATCACTTTCCAGGCAGGAACTTCAGGTAAGAGGAACTACGGGTAACACACACATAATACTAGTAGACTTACTAGGCAGGAACTTCAGGTAAGAGGAACTCCTGGTAACACACACATAATACTAGTAGACTTGCTAGGCAGGAACTTCAGGTAAACACATGTACACATACCATACTTATGAGATAGGAACTTAAGGTAAACACACACATAATGTGCTTACTAGACAGGAACCTCAGGTCAGGAACGTCAGGTAACACACACATAATATACATCCCAGGCAGGAACGTCAGGTAACACACACACAATATACATCCCAGGCAGGAACGTCAGGTAACATACACATAATATACATCCCAGGCAGGAACGTCAGGTCAGGAACGTCAGGTAACACACACATAATATACATCCCAGGCAGGAACGTCAGGTAACATACACATAATATACATCCCAGGCAGGAACGTCAGGTAACACACACACAATATACATCCCAGGCAGGAACGTCAGGTAACATACACATAATATACATCCCAGGCAGGAACGTCAGGTCAGGAACGTCAGGTAACACACACATAATATACATCCCAGGCAGGAACGTCAGGTAACATACACATAATATACATCCCAGGCAGGAACGTCAGGTAACACACACACAATATACATCCCAGGCAGGAACGTCAGGTCAGGAACGTCAGGTAACACACACATAATATACATCCCAGGCAGGAACGTCAGGTAACATACACATAATATACATCCCAGGCAGGAACGTCAGGTAACACACACACAATATACATCCCAGGCAGGAACGTCAGGTCAGGAACGTCAGGTAACACACACATAATATACATCCCAGGCAGGAACGTCAGGTAACATACACATAATATACATCCCAGGCAGGAACGTCAGGTAACACACACACAATATACATCCCAGGCAGGAACGTCAGGTCAGGAACGTCAGGTAACACACACATAATATACATCCCAGGCAGGAACGTCAGGTAACATACACATAATATACATCCCAGGCAGGAACGTCAGGTAACACACACACAATATACATCCCAGGCAGGAACGTCAGGTCAGGAACGTCAGGTAACACACACATAATATACATCCCAGGCAGGAACGTCAGGTCAGGAACGTCAGGTAACACACACATAATAAACATCCCAGGCAGGAACGTCAGGTCAGGAACGTCAGGTAACACACACATAATATACTTCCTAGGCAGGAACGTCAGGTCAGGAACGTCAGGTAACACCCACACAATATACTTCCCAGGCAGGAACGTCAGGTAACACACACATACTGTGCTTACTAGACAGGAACGTCAGGTAACACACATACTATACTTCCCAGGCAGGAACCTCAGGTCAGGAACGTCAGGTAACACGCATAATATACTTCCCAGGCAAGAACGTCAGGTCAGGAACGTCAGGTGACACGCACATAATATACTTCCCAGGCAGGAACGTCAGGTCTGGAACGTCAGGTAACACGCATAATATACTTCCCAGGCAGGAACGTCAGGTCAGGAACGTCAGGTCACACACATACTATACTTCCCAGCCAGACACTCCAGCTCAGGGACGTCAGGTAACACGCATACTATACTTCCCAGCCAGACACTCCAGCTCAGGGACGTCAGGTAACACGCATAGTATACTTCCCAGGCAGGAACGTCAGGTCAGGAACGTCAGGTAACACACATAATATACTTCCCAGGCAGGAATGGCAGGTAAGATGCACATTATCCACTTACCAGGTAGTAACTCCAGGTAACACACACATAATGTACTTATCAGATAGTACTCTTTTCATTCATTCATTTCTTTATTCCTCCAAATTTAAGATTTACATGTACATGTATATGGACATAAATACAAATAAATACAGAAAAAGAAATCATCTGTAAAGTCAAGAAAAGGGAGATATTCTAAAGTGGACAAAACCAATGTATGTAACTAGACATGTAAAAGACTTCAGGCTAGTGAACAAAGCAAACAAATATGATTACAAAGCTTCGCAAATATATGATGGAGTAGAATGATAATGGTTATAAACTGTATTGAGAAGAGTCTACGTGAACCTTCCTGTGAATTGACATAAAGGTTTCCTTGTACAATCATGTTAGAAAGCGATTTAAATCACTTGTACATAAAAAAGAGTTACAGACAGTATAAGGATATTAGATCTACTGAAGTGTTAGAGCTGAAGCTCTCTCCGCAAAAATCAGACAGTCTCGGATAAAGGAAAAAAAACACATGATCCTCTCACAGGGCGAGAGCGATATCGTTGGACGGACTGCCAAATATATTGAAAAACTGTTGTTCCCTATACCTGTACAGGATGGACGTTAACTATATTTGTATAAAAGACATCTCTAAGCGAAGCTAATTCAACACAGATACAATGAGCGACAGCGTCAGAGACAGACAAATTACATTTAGCACAATGAAGTTCACAATCAGGTGGGGCAATCCATAATTTAGAAACTCGTTTACAGATCTCAGCTAAGCTTTGAGATAATTTTGATGCATGCCACAGAATGGAAGGCGAAAGTTCTGTATGAATATTCCTAAATCTGCATAAATCACAATTCAGACTCAGACGCTGTTCCCACTGTTCACTTTCTTTGCAAAGCAATACATTTTTAACAATATGCTTCCACATTACAGGTGTAGTTTGTTAGGCATGCAAGGACTGTAAATAATCGTACAAGTAAAACTGCAAATTGTAATTATGAAAAATGTTCCATACATCGGGTATAAACCCTCTTTTTGACTTACTAAAATGCATATATATGATAATTTATATACGTGACAAAAACAACTGTTTTGCAGGACATTAAAATTTTACATTACACAAAGCAGCGAAAAATCGTAGTTTGCATTGTTCAACATACAGAGAAATTGATGGTAAAGCTAACATACCCAGTACAATATCCGACCTAGTACGAACTGGGAAATTCTGCATAAGTTTTGCACATAAATGGTGTGTGGTCTCTAAACGACGCCAATCAGTAGAGGAAAGCGCGAACCAGAACTCGCAGCCAAATAACGCTCTTGGAAGCACGATTGATTTATAGAGTTTCAAACTTATTAAAGGATTAAGTCCTGAACCAAGTAAGTTACAATGCATAAGAGCAAAACATTGCCCACGTAACGTATGCACAACTTCATCCAGCTCTGGACGACCTGGACTGAATTTATCTACAAATATACCGACATGTGTAGTACTAGTTGACTCCTGTACTTTGTTTGGCCCAAGATATATACCACTTCCGCTTTGAATTAGTATAGGCATTTTGTCTTTTATTAAAAACAACAGCAACAGATTTCGATGCATTGCACTTAAATCTCCATCTACAGCTGTATAAATAACAGATATACATCAAATTATCCAAATCGCTTTTGCAAAGTGAAAGTAGGACAATATCATCCGCCTGAGTAGGACAAGTTACGTTAATGTCATGGACATAAAGTGCGAATTTTGAAACACAAAGTTCATTCAACAAGTCATCAATGTAGATAGAGTAAAGCGAAGGCGAGAGAATACTCCCTTGACGGGTTCCCTGGCATATTGGAAACCATTTAGAAATAAAACCTTGACAAAGAACCGCACTATATATATTTTTATACATGCATGTAGAAACTATCATATTGACAGTATCACGTTTTAAGCCCAAAAGAGCAAGTTTAAAAAATAAACCTTCGTGCCAAACACAGTCGAAGGCTTTCGCCGCATCGAGGAAGCAAGAGTACAGTTTACTATTATTTTCACAAGTGTAAATAATCGTTTTATGCAAAAGATATGACGTCATCGTACTGCTGACGTTCTTCTGAAACCCATTTTGTAGAGAATTAACATTAAATAGCTTTTCAGAGACAAGCCTGTCAAGTAATAAGTTTTCAAAAACTTTGACAATGACAGGCATGGAAGAAATAGTGCGATAGCTATTTGGGTCAGATTTAGGTTTATTGTGACCTTTATATAGAGTGCAAATGATTCCCTTTTTTTATATCCTTTGGTACAAATATCAAATTTTCATAAACAATTAAATCAACACCTGCAGCTTTGCCACGGGGAAGACTACGACAAATATATTTAACTTCATTAAAAATAAAGTCAGCCAACGAAAAGTTCAGTCGTGAGGCATCATCCATGAAGTTTTTCAAAAAGTTCTTAACTTCCATTTTGAACGAGTTGTTGAAGTCCTCATGAGAAGACTCCGAGTAGATTTGCGAAAAATATTCACCCCAGTGGAGTGCGAGACACGGCAGATCTCTAACTACAGAATCTCCAAATTTTATGTCCGCTCCAGTGTTAACTTCAGGTAACTCACACATAATACACTCACCAGGTAGTAACTTCGGGTAACTCGCACATAATACACTTACCAGGTAGTAACTTCAGGTAACTTACACATAATACACTTACCAGGTAGTAACTTCAGGTAAGATACACATAATACATCTACCAGGTAGTAACTTCAGGTAACTTACGCATAAAGTACTAACCAGACACATAATACATCTACCAGGTAGTAGCTTCAGGCAGGAGCATTAGGTGAGACATATACACGTTATAGGAATGAGAATAGTGTGCTTCAGGTATAACTCACACATAATCTACTTCACAGGCAGGAACGGGGGATCGAACCGGCGATCCCATACTTCCTAGTCGGACGCTCTACTTCTGAGTTACCCCATTAAAGCCGTGGTCCCACCCCGCCGTACTTGCAAGTGCGTGCACGTGCCGTCTACTTGCAAAAACGTGGGCCAAATTTGTGGATCCGTACTTGGTGAATACCGCCTCAGTACAGATTTGGGAGCACGCAGACACGCCGTAGCACTTTTAGTGCATGAGGAACTTTCGCTGCGTTCGGGATACGGTCGGGCTACGGATTCACCCCAGAACTGACGTGGACCGTGCCGAGTAAGCACGTGCTCCGCACTTACAACGCGCGTTGTGCGGACTGATTTCTGCCGTATATATAAAAGCCGAGCCGTGGGTTGTGACCGGGCCTTAACACATACCCTGCTACGATAGAAAAGTGGCCGAGAGCGTGGCCAATCGGGACTAAACGTGGGAGGATCTCCGTGAACGTGGTTTGATCTGGTCGGGATCTCCCAGCGTGATATAGATATATAGCGTCGTGGTGAGATATCTGTGGTCGTAATAAAAACGCATCACCGTCGGCAACTATTTCGAACCATTTTAATTACGCTTTAACCATGCTCCCACTACGCTCACTTTACGCTCAATACGATCCTACGGAGTCCTAGAAGCGTACAAGAAACTTAATATGGTCAGCACAAGCGTAGCGACATAGTCATACAGTCTTCTATGCCTGTGTTACAACGTAGTATGATCCTGTACGTCGTAGTGGTAACGTAGTAGAAACGACCGCTTGGTCGGCATTGGTCTAGGTGTAATCGTAGCGGCAACGTAGTAGAAACGACCGCTTGGTCGGCATTGGTCTAGGTATAATCGTAGCGACAACGTAGTAGAAACGACCGCTTGGTCGGCATTGGTCTAGGTGTAATCGTAGCGGTAACGTAGTAGAAACGACCGCTTGGTCGGCATTGGTCTAGGTGTAATCGTAGCGGCAACGTAGTAGAAACGACTGCTTGGTCGGCATTGGTCTAGGTGTAATCGTAGTGGTAACGTAGTAGAAACGACCGCTTGGTCGGCATTGGTCTAGGTGTAATCGTAGCGCAAAGTAGTAGAAACGACCGTTTGGTCGGCATTGGTCTAGGTGTAATCGTAATGGCAGCGAGTCAGCAGCGCTTTTGACGTAGAAACATCGCAGTACGGTCGTGATGTAGTCTTTAATTTCCAAAATTGCTGGATTTTGACGACGATAATGCCCCGATTTGATAACTTTTTTTCTTCAGATTGGGGATGATCGGGGTGATCGGCATGGTTTTCGTAAGGTCGCAGAGCTTTGTGAACGGGGTATTAAAGGAAAATTTCCACTAGGGCGAAGCAAGAAGGCGACCGTAATCATAATTATGTACAATTAAAATAAGACACATTTATTATCCTTACATATGTTATCATTTATTTTACATTCCTTTGCAGGCTTTGGCCGCCCTGACACGTGACCATCCAAATCCACGTGAGGTCCTGAGTAATATGGGTATAGCCGACATTATCCAGGATTCCCTTATAAAGGCCATGGAGAAGATGTGATAGGTCAAGCTAACATTATCCAAAATGTACTAAATGGCGCTGACAATAACCAGGGTGTCCTGGTAAGTGCCATGGACACAGTGTGTCGGCTTTAAACTACTGTAGCCAGGATGTCCTTATGAAGTTTCCGTTGTCGATGTAATGGGTTTTGTCAACAGTATTTGTGATGTCCTAATAAATTACCTTGGGAATTTGATTGGTTTAGCTAATGGTATGCGATGGGTGCCGCGCAGACAGCATGATAGGTGCTCTGGAAAGTGCTATAGTGCCCTGGAATGTGCTATAATGCCCTGGAATGTGCTATAGTGCCCTGGAATGTGCTAGCTATAGTGCCCTGGAATGTGCTATAGTGCCCTGGACTGTGCTATAGTGCCCTGGAAAGTGCTATAGTGCCATAGGGACAGTTTGATGGATGATGGGTGCCGTGGAAGCAGTATGACTGGTGCTCTGGACAAGGGCGTTGTGATGAGTGTAACTGATAGGATCAAAAGTGTCGTAATAAAAGCTCTACGATCGACCAATCCCGCCTCCAATAAATTAGGGAATTACTTTAATGTCTATCAAATAAAAGCCCAATGATCGATGAATCTCGCCTTCAATACGTTAAACAATGACTTTAATGTCAAACACATCAACAAAATCGAACAGTTTCTTCTAAGAACTGTCTATTCTTTCTTCTTTGAGTTGAAGTTATCACGATCTGGTAACCTTTATGGTGAGTATTTAAAAAGACTATCATGTACATGTATAACCTCCAGAAAGTTGTACACGACGAAGGAAACGGTATCACAGAAGGTTGTAAACGAGGGAAGCGGTATCACAGAAGATTGTAAACGAGGGAAGCGGTATCACAGAAGGTTGTACACGAGGGAAGCGGTATCACAGAAGATTGTACACGAGGGGAGCGGTATCACAGAAGATTGTACTCGAAAGAAACGGTATCACAGAAGATTGTGAAAGAGGGAAACGTTATCACAGAAGGTTGAACACGAAAGAAACGGTATCACAGAAGATTGTACACGAGGGAAGCGGTATCACAGAAGATTGTACTCGAAAGAAACGGTATCACAGAAGATTGTAAACGAGGGAAGCGGTATCACAGAAGGTTGAACACGAAGGAAACTGTATCACAGAAGATTGAACACGAAGGAAACGGTATCACAGAAGATTGAACACGAGGGAAGCGGTATCACAGAAAGTTGTACACGAAGAAAGCGGTATCACAGAAGGTTGAACACGAAGGAAACGGTATCACAAAAAGTTGTACACGAAGAAAACGGTATCACAGAAGGTTGTACACGAAGGAAGCGGTATCACAGATGATTGTACATGAGGGAAGCGGTATCACAGAAGATTGTACTCGAAAGAAACGGTATCACAGAAGATTGTACACGAGGGAAGCGTTATCACAGAAGGTTGAACACGAAGGAAACGGTATCACAGAAGATTGAACACGAAGGGAACAGTATCACAGAAGATTGTACACGAAGGAAACGGTATCACAGAAGATTGAACACGAGGGAAGCGGTATCACAGAAGGTTGTACTCGAAAGAAACGGTATCACAGAAGATTGTACACGAGGGAAGCGTTATCACAGAAGGTTGAACACGAAGGAAACGGTATCACAGAAGATTGAACACGAAGGGAACTGTATCACAGAAGATTGTACACGAAGGAAACGGTATCACATAATATTGTACACGAGGGAAGCGAAGCGGTATCACAGAAGGTTGTACGAGGGAAACGGTATGATAGAAGAGTACACGAGGGAAACGGAATCACAGAAGATTGTTTACGATTGAAACGGTATCACTGAAAGTTGTAATCAAGAGAAACGGTATCATAGAAGATTGTACACGAGGAAAGTTGTATCACAGAAGATTAGGTTGTACACAAGGGAAGCGGTATCACAAAAGATTGTACACGAAGGAAGCGGTATCACAAAAGATTGTACACGAGGGAAGCGGTATCACAGAAAGTTGTACACGAGGGAAACGGTATCATAGAAGAGTACACGAGGGAAACGGTATCACAGAAGGTTCTACACGAGGGAAGCGGTATCACAGAAGTAAGTACACGAGGGAAACGGTATCACAGAAGGTTGTACACGATGGAAATGGTATCACAGAAGATTGTACACGAAGGTAATGGTATCACAGAAAGTTGTACACTACGGAAACGGTATCACAGAAGGTTTTTGTACACGAGGGAAACGGTATCATAGAAGGTTCTACACGAGGGAAGCGGTATCACAGAAGGTTGTACTCGAAAGAAACGGTATCACAGAAGATTGTACAAGATTGTACACGAGGGAAGCGTTATCACAGAAGGTTGAACACGAAGGAAACGGAATCACAGAAGATTGAACACGAAGGGAATTGTATCACAGAAGATTGTACACGAAGGAGACGGTATCACAGAAGATTGTACACGATGGAAGCGAAGCGGTATCACAGAAGGTTGTACGAGGGGAACGTTATCACAGAAGGTTCTACACGAGGGAAGAGGTATCACAGAAGATTGTACACGAGTGAAGCTGTATCAAAGAAGGTTGTACACGAAGGAAACGGTTTCACTGAAAGTTGTACTCAAGAGAAACGGTATCATAGAAGATTGTACACGAGGGAAGCGGTATAACAGAAGATTGAAAGGTTGTACACGAAGGAAACGGTTTCACTGAAAGTTGTACTCAAGAGAAACGGTATCATAGAAGATTGTACACGAGGGAAGCGGTATCACAGAAAATTGTACACGAGGGAAGCGGTATAACAGAAGATTGAAAGGTTGTACACGAAGGAAACGGTTTCACTGAAAGTTGTATCACAGAAGATTGTTTACGACGGAAACGGTATCACAGAAAGTTGTACACGAGGGAAGCGATATCACAGAATATTGTACACGAGGGAAGCGAAGCGGTATCACAGAAGGTTCTACACGAGGGAAGAGGTATCACAGAAGATTGTACACGAGGAAAGTTGTATCACAGAAGGTTGTACACGAGGGAAGCGGAATCACAGAAAGTTGTACACGAGGGAAACTGTATCATAGAAGAGTACACGAGGGAAACGGTATCAGAGAAGGTTCTACACGAGGGAAGCGGTATGACAGAAGATTGTACACGAGGGAAGCTGTATCACAGAAGGTTGTACAGGAAGGAAACGGTATCACTGAAAGTTGTAATCAAAGGTTGTACACGAAGGAAACGGTATCACTGAAAGTTGTACTCAAGATAAACGGTATCACAGAAGATTGTACACGATGGAAGCGAAGCGGTATCACAGAAGGTTCTACACGGGTAAAAGTGTAGTCTACAGACAGGTGGTACCCGAAGGAAACGGTATCACTGAAAGTTGTACTCAAGATAAACGGTATCACAGAAGATTGTACACGAGAGAATCGGTACTACAGAAGGTTGTACATGAGGGAAGCGGTATCACAAAGTACATGAGGGAAGCGGTATCACAGAAAGTTGTCCACGAGGGAAGCGGTATCACAGAAGATGGTACACGAGGGAAGCGGTATCACAGAAAATTGTACACGAGGGAAGCGGTATAACAGAAGACTGAACATTAGGGGAGCCGTATCACAGAAAGTTGTACACGAGGGAAACGGTATCATAGAAGAGTCCACGAGGGAAACGGTATCTCAGAAGGTTCTACACGAGGGAAGCGGTATGACAGAAGATTGTACACGAGGGAAGCGGTATCACAGAAATTTGAACACGAGGGAAGCTGTATCAAAGAAGGTGGTACACGAAGGAAACGGTATCACTGAAAGTTGTACTCAAGAGAAACGGTATCACAGAAGATTGGACACGGGGAAAGCGGTATTACAGAAGGTTGTAAAGGAGGGAAGCGGTATCACAGAAGATTGTTTACGATTGAAACGGTATCACTGAAAGTTGTAATCAGAGGGAAGCGGTATCACAGAAGATTGTACACGAGGAAAGTTGTATCACAGAAGGTTGTACACGAGGGAAGCAGTATCACAGAAGATTGTACACGAGGGAAGCGGTATAACAGAAGATGGAACACTAGGGGAGCGGTATCACAGAAAGTTGTACACGAAGGAAACGGTATCACAGAATATTGTACACGTGGGAAGTGGTATCACAGAAGATTGTACACGAGGGAAGCGGTATCACAAAAGATTGAAAACGAAGGTAATGGTATCACAGAATATTGTACACGAGGGAAGCGAAGCGGTATCACAGAAGGTTGTACAAGAGGGAAGCGGTATCACAGAAAATTGTACACGAGGGAAGCGGTATAACAGAAGATTGAACACTAGGGGAGCGGTATCACAGAAAGTTGTACACGAGGGAAGCGGTATCACAGAAGGTTGTACACGAGGGAAGCGGAATCACAGAAGGTTGTACACGAGGGAAGCTGTACCACAGAAGGTTGTACACGAGGGAAACGGAATCACAGAATAGTGTACACGAGGGAAGCAGTATCACAGAAAGTTGTTCACGAGGGAAGCGGTATCACAGAAGGGTGTACATCAGGGAAACGGTGACACAAGATTATATACGAGGTAAGCTGTATCACAGAAGGTTGTACACCTCAAGATAAACGGTATCACAGAAGATTGTACACGGGGAAAGCGGTACTACAGAAGGTTGTACACGAGGGAAGCTGTACCACAGAAGGTTGTACACGAGGGAAACGGAATCACAGAATAGTGTACCCGCGGGAAGCGGTATCACAGAAGGTTGTACTCGAAGAGGTTCTACACGAGGGAAGCGGTATCACAGAATTAAGTACACGAGGGAAACGGTATCACAGAAGATTGTTAACGATGGAAACGGTATCACAGAAAGTTGTACACGAAGGAAACGGTATCACAGAAGATAGGTCACGTGGGAAAAGGTATCACAGAAGATTGTACACGAGGAAAGCTGTATCACAGAAGGTTGTACACGAGGTAAACGGTATCAAAGAACAGTGTACACGCGGGAAACGGTATCATAAAAGTTTGTATACGATTGAAATGGTATCACAGAAGATTGTACACGAGGAAAGTTGTATCACAGAAGGTTGTACACGAGGGACGCGGTATCGCAGAAGTTGTACACGAGGGAAGCGGTATTACAGAAGGTTGTACATGAGGTAAGCAGTATCACAAGATTGTACACGAGGGAAGCGGTATGTATCACTGAAAGTTGTAATCAAGAGAAGCGGTATCACAGAAGATTGTACACGAGGAAAGTTGTATCACAGAACGTTGTACACGAGGGAAGCGGTATCACAAAAGATTGAAAACGAAGGGAATGGTATCACAGAATATTGTACACGAGGCAAGCGAAGCGGTATCCCAGAAGGTTGTACAAGAGGGAAGCGGGATCACAGAAAATTGTACACGAGGGAAGCGGTATAACAGAAGACTGAACACTAGGGGAGCGGTATCACAGAAAGTTTTACACGAGGGAAGCGGTATCACAGAATTAAGTACACGAGGGAAACGGTATCACAGAAGATTGTATAAGAATGAAACGGTATCACTGAATATTGTACACGAGGTAGGTGGTATCACAGAAGGTTGTACACGAGGGAAGTGGTATCACAGAAGGTTGTACACG